TTTTTTTTTTTTTTTATCAATAACGATTAAGTACGCAAGGCCGGGACGTTGTGCTTCTAATGTGCGCTTTTGCTTCACTTTTCTTCCTTTTTTCTTTTTCTTGTCTTTTTTATTTAACTGTTGCGGAGAACAATTTCTGTCGGAGAACAGAGCAGCTTCCTGTGTTTTTCCTTTTCTCTTTTTTTTTTTTTCGTTTTTGTCTAAAAGCTGAGAAATTTGGGAAAAGTTCGAGCGGTGCTCGTCAGAGGACGTCGAATGACTGAGATTTGAACATTCCTGTGAATAATTCTCCGCAAGTTTCAACTTTTCCCAAACTTTGCTCACGGGGTAGAAAAACCGGGTTGGTAAACGTAGTCACGGCCCGTTCGATGTTCTGCATCGCGATGATCCGTCAAACACGAGTTTCGCTAGATTATAATATAATGACAACGGTAATTCGCACGATTAATATCAAAATTATTTGATGTCTACGCTCTATGCTTATCCTTAATCCCGATTGCTCATCTAACTGTAAGACGTACGGTGAATGGGACGTTGGTTTTAATATTACGTTCGCACTCGCTTCTGCATACTCGTGTGATCATGGTTCTCAAGGAAGACAGTTATAATGGATGCACTTATCGTTAACATCGAGAATCATCGAAACAGTTTGAATCGATCCGTGTCTTATAAAGTGTCGACACTTCGACGCAAGTGACAAACGGGGCAAACTCGGGACTTAAATTTAAATAAAACTGTACGACGAGTGCAGTTGAAATGATCTCGACGTTAATTTCACGAGTATGACGTTTGAAAGCTGGTTCCTCGGTATAAAAAGAAGATCTTTTTCAAAAAGTATCCTCTGAAGAAGGGTTTCTACAAAACGGGAACAAGGAGATGAAAAAGAAACGAAGAGGATCTCGATCTCTATGCTGAGACCCTGAGAAACGAGAAAGTAAGAAGTTAAAGGTGAGGTCGTCTCGGCGTGGCGGTCGATTCGATGGTACGTAAATGCACGCAAGGTACAAGGTTTTGTACAAACGAGAGAAATCGAACGAGAGACGAGGAAGTGAAACGGAAATGATGGCTCGACGACAGCCACGTCGCTCTTGACATTTTTCATCTGGGATTACTTTCCACGGTAGATCTCTATGATACGATCCTGGTCCACGTACTCGAAGATGTGAGGTGCGTCCATGAGGATGCCGACGGTGCCTGCGGAGGTGACGAGGAAGAAAATGTAGAGCTGCAGTCGATCGATCACCATGGCCACGTACTTCCAATCCTCTCGCGTCTGAAACACGCGTGAACGACGAGGCATTATATATCGTAAAATTACTCGACACGAGCAGCACAAATGTACCAGAAATACCTGTATGTACAAATCCTCGTTTCTCAAGTGTTCGGCGATGAATTCGA